AAGACTAATTAAAACAAAAACAGAAAAACAATTTCATTAATAAAAAACAAATGGTTGAAAACACTCAGAAAACAACAAAACATTAGAAGCAAAAACTAAAACAACTTAATCAAAATAACAAAGCAAATGATAATGATATTGGTGTAAATTGGTTGGGTTGATGAACAACGTCACGACATAAGCCACCACTACCCCAGACTTAGAGTAAGGAAAATATCCTTACTATCAGCTGATGCAATGGGGCACGCCATTAGTTGGCCCTCAGTCAAGTTTAAGATAAATACCAGCTAGGCATTGAGCTTGTTGCTCTTCCTCACTGGATCCTTCTTTTTCTTATTTCTAGCCTTCTTGTGGGAAGGCTCTAGAAGAGTTATCTTCTTGGAAGTCTTTGGTGCTCCAGAGATAACTTTCTGAAGCTGTGAAGAAAATGCAAGAAGGGGGGGGGGGGGTGAATTGGGTTTTCCTTTCTTGACAAACTTTCGCTTCTAAGCATTATTCGTTGAACTATTCTTCCGGGTGTTACTTCTAAGTAATGCTTCTAATTAAGTTAAGAAAACATAAACTCTAAAGCATAAGAAAAAGTAAAGAACACGTGATATATCCTGGTTCACTTGAGAAACCCCTAAGCTAGTCCAGTCCATCCTACTAAGGTGATTTTGCCTTGAACTCAAGGACTTAATCCACTATAACCAAACTGATTACAATTTTCATAAGCTACCCGCAAGTGACTAACAACCTCTAAGACACATAAGTCCTAGACTTCTTAAGGATACAAACCTAATCGGTCCCTTAAGTAAAATCCTACACAAGATATCCACAAGTGACTAACATCCAATGATGCGTTCAGAGATCCAAACTGGATATAATGTTCATTTACCCAATAGAATCCGATCCCTCAGAACCTTATACCAGAATTTCCTCTCAATGATATCCATCAATGATCTCACAAGGATGACCTTCACTCACTCCCCTTTGAAATATGACTACCATTGACCCAATAGAATCCACTACCAGGATTTCAGAATGATCTTCAATCACTATCTCCTTGAGCACAGATCTTCACTCAGTCTCTCAAGGTATCATCAAACAAGTGTGTGATTTACATTTGCTTACAATAATATGCTTCTACACAAGCTTGATGTAAACGGTGTTTAAGTATACATCAGAAGATCCTAATACACACTAAAAATATTACATTATACTGTAGCTTGATGTGTGGTCTTCTTTTCTTCAAGTAGATTCTTCTCGGACAACAATCCAAAGCACTTGAATTGCTGAAGTCTTCTTCTTCACAAGCTTCTGGAAGCTTTATTGATCTTGATGTAATAAAGAGAAGAAATTCTTCATCTTGATTCACCTTAGAACATTTTGGACATCAACCCTTGTTCTATTTTCTTCTATGATCACTTTAGAGCACAACATTTGTGTTATAGATTTGTAACTGGAGCTTAGAAAGCTTTGTGCAGCATGTGAAATTAAGCACATTGTGAATCAATGATTTCATTGTAATCATTATCAACATGATTGAAGAATCATTTTGATAATAGTTGTTTTTGTTTTTGTTATAGTGGTTGATAGTTTTTTGGTTGTGTTCCAATAATGACAGCTTTCATTTTGACATTGAACACTAACAACATTGCAAACCTACGATTCTTTTCTTATATAGCCAAGTAAAATAAAGCCGTTGGCTAATAAAAAAGATTCGTTACATATAGTACTGTTACGCCATTTTCTCTTCCACAATTAAAGCTAGTGGAGAGGTAGTGGAATAAGGCTTTTTTGTTTTGTGTACTATTGTACCATGTTAACGTTATATTATTTCCTTCTACACTTCAGAGGCTTCTACGAGCATGAGTTTAGAAGCGGGAACATAACATAAGGTCTTCAAAACTTCAAGTATTCAGAGTCTTTAGAACTGCGTCTTTGAGTCTTCAGTACTTGGTCGTGAGAACCCGTTGTATAGAACCTTGGATCAGAAGAGCTTCAAGTCTTCAGAGTCTTAAGAGTTATGTCTTTAGACTCTTCAACACTTGGTCTTGAGAACCCGTTGTAGAGAACCTTGGATCTTTATAACTTCAAGTCTTTGGAATCTTCAGAACTTCCGTCTTTAGAATCTTTAGCACTTGGTTCTTTAAGAATCCTTTTAAGAACCTTGTCATTAGAAACACGAGTATTCAACATTTGGACTTCAGTAGAAATGTTATCTTCAAATCTTTTAACTTTGTCTTCTTTGAAATAAGTTGTCTTTTAGAAAATAAGTTTTTAGTATCTGGACTTCAGTAGAAACTTTGTATTCAGATCTTCTAACTTTGTTTCTTTGAAACACACTGTCTTTAGAAACTTGAGTCTTTAGCATATGGACTTCAGTAGAAACTTGAGTCTTCAGATCTTCTGGCTGTTTCCTTAGAATATGTTGTGTTTAGAATCTTGAGTCTTTAGCATCTGGACATAAGTAGAAACTTTTATCTTCAGATCTTCTGACTATTTCTTTAGAACCCGTTGCCTTCAGAAACATGAATCTTCAGCATCTAGACTTAATTAGCAACTTCTGTCTTCAGATTTTCTGACTGGTTTCTTTAGACAATCATCAGAGCTTACACTTCAGAGCCTTCTGGACTATCTTGCTACTGTTTAATAGAGCTTGTGTAGTACAGAAGCAGAACTAATTCTATTCTAATGTCTTGGTCACACCATCCATCAGAAGCAGAACTTGTTTGTTAAGTACTCAACAATAACAAACATTAGAGTATCAAAATTATTCATACAAACATACAAATGAGAGCTAAAACAAGTTGACATCAATAATGTATTTATGAATGGCTTTCTACATGAGGAAGTATATATGTCCTACCCTTAGTTTTGAGAAGGAAGATCATTCACTTGTTTGCAAACTCCATAAAGCATTGTATGAGCTCAAACAAGTCTCTCGAGCATGGTATAAGAAGTTGACTCACGCTCTTGTTCACTTTGGACATAATCATAGAAAATATGACCACTCCCTCTTCATTTACTCTCACATAGGTATCAATATATATGCATTGATGTGTGTATATGATATTCTAATCAAGGGTTCCTCATCTATGTTGGTACATAAACTTATAGACTCTCTTCATGGGACATTTTCTCTTAAGAAATTGGGCATTCATGAATATTTCCTAGGTATTGAGTTAAAGCATTTATCATCAGGGAATCTTCTTCTCACTCAAACAAAGTACATTTGAGATCTTCTTACAAGAGCACATATGTCTAATGCTAATTGTGTCACCACTCCAATGTTTAGTTGCAGACTCAACAAGCATGTAACTTCCTTTATCCTATATTCTCACTTATATTGTTCAATGGTAGAAGCACTTCAACATGTGTTCCAATTCATGGCCTTTCCTTTGGAGTTGCACTGGTCAACTGTCAAACGAATCCTAAGGTGTCTAAGTGGCACCATCAATCATGGTGATTCTGATTGGGCAAGTGATTCCGATGATAAATGCTCTATCTCTAGAACATGCTTATTCTTTGGCCCAAATCTTGTATCCTGGAGCTCCAAGAAACAACCTCTCGTTTCCAGATCAAGCACGGAGGTTGAGTATCATGACTTGGAGCACACAACATATGTTTTATTGTGGTTAGAATCACTTCTTACAGAGCTTCATGTTTCCTTTCTTCCTCCTACGCTCTTGTGTGACAATCTCAGTATAGTTCTACTATCTTATAATCCTATTATTCATGTTCGAACCAAACATATTGAACTTGATATTCACTTTATCAGTGAACATGTTATTTCCAAACTCATAAAAATTTAACATGTACCGAGCTCGTTACAAGTTACGGATACTCATATTAAACCTCTTAGCATTGCAACGTTCCAAGAGCTTCAAAACAAACTTAAAGTCATGGCACGCACCTCTCCATAAACTTGTGGGAAAGTATTAGGAGCGAAGCTTGTGATACAAGAAATGAAGTATTGCACCATGATCATATGCATGAACTCATGTATATAATCTATTATCATCATGCATGTATGAATGTAGCATAGCTAAGCAACCATGCATGTAAATATACAAATAGATCATATATGGTGTTGTAATAGATAACAATAATGTATTCTTTATTTTATATTTTATTTTTAGTAATAAAAAATTGAAAATTTATTCAAATGAAAATCAGAAAAGCAATCATCGACTCCTACTCCTAAATATATATTAAATTTCAATATAAAAATCATATTTAAAATTAAAAATTATAAATATTAACTTCAAATAAAATCAATTCATAAAAACATAACCAGTTATACTCAAATACAATCAAACATGTCAAAATCAATTTTATATTCAAAATCAGTTCTCAGTGCTCCAAACTTGAAAACCAAATATACACTAATTTTTATTTTTAGAGTTTTTGGCTGTTTTGCATTTGTATATATTATACCTTTTACCAATCCTGGTAAAAAGTGTATTGTTGGTTGGATAATGGGAGTGTTACTTATAAAACTATCATTAATATAAATACCTTTCTAGTTTGTAACAATAGTTTGTCACAATTGGTAACAAAATCTGCATACCACATTATCTGTCATATAATAAGTGAACAATATTCCTTTTTTTCTGATTATTCTTACTTGTTTGAGTCACCATTATGGCATCATTATTATTGCTTGCAAGTTGCAACTAGTTTTAAAATATACAAAAACATAGCCATAGGTTTATATTCATTTTAATAATCCAACTGAGCTATCATAAGAATCTTATAATAAGATCAAACGTTCTTAAGCTTCTAAGCTGCATAAACCTTTGGAATTGCTTATAAGACAAATGTCATGGAATCGTCGGAATAAGACATCAAAAAGACAAAATCTCAAATTCCATCTTCAATTAATTTAATCAGAAGTTATGTAAAATATAGCTGGTAAAATATTGTATAGTGGTGAAACCCTAGATGTTATCAATCATAGACATAACTTGGTGTTACAATTTGTTGAACAGAATTTAATTAAATTTAAATAGTTAATGGAGGTATGCATAATCAATACATTTTGCATTCTTCATGTTCTACCATTGCATAAATTTCATTCTTGTGTAATTTTTCTGCAGAATTATCTTCTCATCGCAACTTTGATTAGCGCAAGTCTTGTATTCGGATGCTATGTACTTGTTCAGGTACTTTATTCACTTCAACTTCAACCTTCTAATGTAACTAACTAGTGTCTAGTATAACTAACTTTTATATATAATGAACAGATTGGAGAAACATGCTCGAGCGACGTCAACGACTGTGGCACGGGGCTCCAGTGTCTGGAATGCAACTCACAAAATCGGTGTACACGAGTTCGAACTGCAAGTCCTATCTCAAAAGTATTCGGTCCTCCGCGAGATATATATTTTTTTCAATTTTATTCTATAGCTGCTAAAATAAAGTTATCATGTGTATAGGTGATGGAGCTTCCATTTAATCAGTACTCATGGCTTACAACTCACAACTCTTTCGCTTCGAGGGTAGCGAATTTGAGTCTAAACTCTCAAATTTCGTCTGTCACGAACCAGGAAGACTCCATTACAGATCAGCTGCATGTATGTCACATATAGTTCTATACGTTTCAATTCATTGCCACAATAATTTTAATAAATCATTTTACTTTGCAGAATGGTGTGAGAGGACTAATGTTAGATATGCATGATTACCATGGTGACATTTGGTTGTGTCGCGGGCCGTGCACAATATTTACAGCCTTTGTAAGAGATTCTCTCGAATTTTTCTGAATGATCATATGCATAATGAAAGTCTTTAAACTCTGAGTTATGATTTAACAGCAACCTGCTATTCATGTTCTGAAAGAGATCAATGTATTCCTGACACAACACCGAACTGAGATCGTCACCGTTTTCATCAAGGATCATGTAACATCACGAAATGGTATCTACAAGCTGTTTAGTAAAGCTGGTTTGAGGAAATTCTGGTTTCCGTTATATAAAATGCCGAAAAATGGTAGTGACTGGCTAACAGTCAAGAAAATGATAACTATGAATCATAGACTAATAGTGTTCACTTCAAATGCAACAAAAGAGGCTTCTGAACACATTGCCTATGAGTGGAACTATGTTGTAGAAAATAAATGTGAGTCCCTTATATATACTCAGTAAGTTTAAAGAATTTTTACACTGTCAATTAATCGTAACTGTCTGATTATTTAAAATCACAGATGGAAATGACGGAATGAGTAGAGGTCATTGTTTAAATAGAGCAGAATCATTTCCAATGAACACGACAACGAAGTCACTAGTCCTAATGAACTATTACAGAAATGTTCTAAGTTCTAATGAAGCTTGTAGGGATAACTCATCGCCATTGATTCGCAAGATGCATATATGCTATACAGCTGCTGGTAACCGATGGCCTAACTATATTGCTGTTGATTTTTACAAGGTACAATTTTTGTTTCAGAAATATAATTAGATTTGTAGGAATTTTTGCTATAAGTTGATACATTTTATTGAATGGATTTGATTATGTATTGAAGAGAGGTGATGGTGGGGGAGCCCCGGAGGCATTAGATGTGGCAAATCGAAACTTGTTTGGGCCTTAAAGAACCATGACTCAGATCAGTCATTTGTGCAATATATGAAACTACTTTCATGTCAATTTTTTATGCTACATGGGATGTAGAACTTACAGACTTAAGAGAATATATGCTATAAGCATATTGATAGTTTTTGTTTCTGTCTCCGTTTGATATCTAATTAATATGTATACTTTTTTTTTTGGTAAAATTGGATACATGTATTGTTTTTTGTTTTGCTAACCATTCTATTGGTGTGGTGGGACTATGATGATTATATGCATTTCTATGAGAAGCAATTTTTGTGCTATATATAGGATACTGCATTGTTGAATTTATTTGGTGTGGGTTTGACATTCTTAGGAGCATTTTTGTTTTCACTGGTTGAGACGGTGGTTTCAAATTAATAGTTTCTGGATAAACAATCTTTCTCATTTTCTCTTTGATATGGAGTTTTATATTGCCACCGGCTTTAAAAAACCTCTCTTGTATCACTTTCTATTCAGTTAAGATAGAGATATTTGATTTATCATCCTTCATTACACCATCATCATCAAAGCTGAGCATTTTTCAGAGAGTGCAGATCTCATCCATTCTATTGGGCTATCATGTTTCACCTTCTTAGAAATTAGACAAGCGCATGAGAGACCATACGTTTTCCTAAGTGTGCAACTACACTTTGAACTATCGAAACCTACGTTCTCGGCTCGTTTGACTTCCTGAAAAATAAAATTCAGTCCTGCTTGGGATATGTTGTCAACCAACTGAAAATAGAGATTGTTGTCTTTGAACCTGTGTTCCAGCACTGATGCTACGACCAAATGATGTTTGTATCTCATTGTGTTAATTTTTGATCATTTGGTTCACATAGTCTCAATCTCTACACAAATCACCCTTACTATTTCCCCACTAATTCTCAATGTAGCATGGGAAGACTCAACTCGATTAGTTATTGTATTTCTAAGGTGTCCAACCTGATTGCTACAAGCACAAACAATTTTTTTCTTCATCTGGTCCAGAATTGTACTTTCAACATATTTCAACAAATCTAGATCTTTCTCACACACCTTCCTGAAATGTATAACAGTGTCAGCATATAATTATTTTGTACAAGAATTTATTATAACATTCCATGCATCCATTATTATTTTTTCACTATCATGCTAACTTTGACAATTATTTCGTCTCCGCCCTTAACTTGTTTCGTCCCTACCGCGGATTTAATTCGACTTCTCACATTCTTTGTGATGTGATACCTACATATTAATGTGTATGAAGTAGGAAAGATTTTCGCAATCAAATTTATCAATACAATACCGCGGTCAGTGAGAATGATTTTTAGCGTGTCTTTTTTGTCCTTCAACATTGTTCTGCACACTTCTAAATTCCAGGTAACATTGTCCTCTTTTTCGCCCTCCAGAAATACAAATCCGACAGAATAAGTCTTCTCGATAGAGGTAACACCAATAATTTTCAATAGTGGGAGCATATACTTGTTGGTCTTATACATTAAATCAATGATGAACACAGTAGGAAACGTGTTGAACAACTTTATGAAATTAGGCTGAGTCCAAAATATATACTGAACGGCTACTCCATCCTCGCACGCTGAGTACCTATATACATAATTGTTATCATTCAAAAGTTTCAACAATTGTTGCATTTCAGTTCTATCTCCCCTTAACGCCTTGTTGTTAAGGACACGAATATTGTATACTTGCTTGATATTTGAGATATTTTTCTGTCTTTTATATTTCAAAGTTGCAAGTATGTTTTTGGGCTCCACCATATTCAATGTCATGTCCGAAACAATTTCATTCTCTTCTAGCATAAGACGACATGCAATTGAATGCCCGACTAACTTGTCACACATGTCATGGTTATTAAACCAGAAATCATATTAAATCTTTATTTGTTATTTGACAAAAGATAACCACACAATTTAAAGGGACACCACATTTCCTCAAATCGGTGTCATATCATTTGAATTTCCAGAGAATAGTTCAATATTTTCCATTTTTTTGCATCTCATTGTCACAAGTGTAACTCTTCTATCTGAACCATTATTAGACATTCCGATTACAACACCAACCCTCAATCTAGATGTCTCTGTGCGAATTCATTGAAGCATATGATCATGAAACTCAAACTCTTGTCCATTTCTAATTTGGTTTCCAACATCTACCTCCTTCACATCAACACGTTTGACATCCCTAGATACAATAAGTTTGGCAAAAATATCATGGTGCACCATATATAATGCAAATAACATAAAATTTTCAAAAATAAATTGAAATGAACACAAAATAATTCCAGAAATGCACTAAAGGAATTCATATAGAATCCGTAAATGCATTCCTAGACACAACCTAATTTTTCAGTGAGAAAAAAGATTAATGTTAGCAATGAGGAATGAAATAAATGATCTTTACCATGAATTTCAATTTCTTTTGATTTGAGGGAACACAAGACTGAAGTTTTGAAGTGTAAATCTTAATTGAGAGTGAAATTTTTATTTGTAAGGGTTTAAAGAAAAAATGGTAATGGTGTTTGATCATACATGATTTTGTTTTATTAAAAATCATGTTTGAAAGTTCTAGAAATGTACCTTTTGAATTGATTGGAATGGAAAGACGACAGATTTTCAAATACCTGTTTCACAAATCTGGAAATGCACTTCCAGGAAAGTCAGTGAGTTATTAAATTAAGAATAAATTGATAGGGTGAATCTAAAGATGCATCTCCAAACTAAATTTTAGAAAAAATATGTGGTCAGACTCAATTAAGACATATCTCAGTGAAACTTAGGATGCATTCGAAAATGCATTTTCGAATTCAAAAGAATATTTTTAGATTTTCGTAGGTGTTTTCCACCACTTAGGATGAGATTAACAATTTCCAAAATTTATAAATAAATGAACACCAAAATTAATAGGCCAGCTAAAAAAAGCTACGAAAATTCAAGTAAACTTCCAAGGCGCTAATATTTTCACAAAGTTTTTTTATTTTAATTTAAAAAATGTTATTTAAAAAACAAATATAAATTTTTGAAAAAAAACTATTTAATTTTTTACTTTTAGAAATATGGTGTTTTTCTCAAAAAAACATTATTTTATTGTTGAAAAAACTTTGATTTTTTTTTTTTTGAAAAAATTTGAATTTTTTTCAGAAAAAATAATATTTTCCTTTTAGAAAAATAATTGATTTTTTTATCTTCAAAAAAATTGATTTTTTTTATTTAAAGAAAATAAATAGATTTTTTTATTTTCAAAAAGATTGATATTTTTATGTTCTAAAAATGTTTGTTTTTTAATTTTCAAAAGAAAAAAAATTCAAAAAGAATTTTTTTTTGAAAATATTAATTTTCTTTTCAGAAAATTTTTTCTCAAAAAAACAATTTTTTATTTTGAAAATAATTTAATTTAATTTTCAAAAACAAATAGACTTTTTGATTTAGGAAAACAAATAGATTTTTTTATTTCTCGAATAATCAATTTGTTTTAAAAAATTATATTTTTATTTTTAAAAAATTGTTTTTATTTTCAAAAATAAGTCATTTTTTTGCAAAAAAATATTGATTTTTTAAGTTTAGGATTAAAATTTTGTTGAGTTGGATTGAAAATCTTGCTGAGTTAGATTGTTTTATTTAAAAATTAAAATTTTTGATACGATCTCAGGAAGGTTCAAATCAAGGACCTTAACAATAAAATCAACACGACTTACCACTTGGATGGTTGCATTTCATTGAACAATGATTGCATCAAAATATATAATTTATTTTTTATTGGTAACATTTCTATTGTATCAAAATATTTATGTTGCTGGTAACGTTGCTATTGCATCAAAACACATGTTATCAAAACACATGTTGCATCAAAACATATGTTGCATCAAAACACATAATAAATAAAAATTATTATTTAATTATTACTAATATATTTTAAGAAAACAAGAGATGCACTGACACGGTAAACGATCACATCTATTTATGCAATTATATCTTATTTTTATTTTAATATTTTCAATGTCATGATAAATTTTTTTACTAGGGTACATCACAATCATTCATAAAAATTATTTTATAAATAATTAAAATAAAAATCAACTTTTAATAAACATTTAATGGTTATAATTCACAGACAATGTAAAACTGCTTTACACCGTCAATGCATACCAATTAATTTTTTTTTTGAAAAATACGTTACTTTTTATATTTAAGAAAAAGTATTTTTATTTTTTTTGAAAAATTAAAAATACGATTTTTTTAATTTTATTTAGAGAATAATGTTTTTATGAAAAAGATCTTAAAAAATTTAAATATAAAACTAGTTATAGATATATCATTTTTTCAATACAATTATAAATCAGTTAATATTGACTAAAATTTCATTATATACAATTTGATATAATCATTGTTTAACAAAATACAATAACATGACATAGGAATACTGTACCAAAATATTAATTTATAAGAGTGAAATCACAAAATCGTCCTATTAATAGAAGAGCAACATATGTTTAACTCTTTAATTTAAAACAAAGAAATTAAAATATTTTGTTCTAAATATATTATATTTTAAACCTCTTACTTAATTCTCATAAAAAAAATATAATATAAAGAGCTTAAAAATAAAGGGTAGAAAAAACTTTTTTTTAAGAGAAGACTTAAAAATGAAACCAAATAGAGGTCTAATTATTAAGACTTTGTCATACATGACTCTTTTGACACCTCTCTATTTCCATTGTTACTAACTGAGATAGCACCTTGATAAATACAATGCAACTTGTTTTTCTGCAAGTGGAAAATTTTGTGTGTTTGTTTTATGTGTACAATAAAATTGTATCTCCAGAAGAGAAACGATCGACATCCTGTTGTGGAGACATGGGAATGTGTACTATATATAATATTGTGATGAACCTGAATATAAAAGTGTGTATTGTTCCAAATTTTATGATGTATATCAATATTGGTTGATTCCCCACAAGAAAAGATTTGTCCCCGCAAGGACGAACAAAGTTATGCCCTT